ATGGGAAAATCTTTACCTTGAATTCCACAAGACTCCGTATGTAGGTGACACAGTTATAGTTAATGGAAAACTAACATAGCATCAGATTGGATAAAAAAGAACCCTTGGTGGCGAGAGGGGGTGGGTACCTGGGTGGCTCAGTTGTGAAAGCAAGCCCCGCATTGGGCTCTGCACTGAGCATGGAGCCTACTTGAGATTCTCTCTCTCCATCTGCCCCTCCCTGCCACTTGCTCTCCCTCAAAAAAACAAAAACAAAAAAACACCTCTTGGTGCCTTTTCACATTATTGTCACAGTGATGACACCTAACAATGTCATAGTAATACATGGGTAATGTTATTATCCCCATTTTATGGAGACTTATTTTAAGTAGACCTGTTGCCTGGGAAAACTAGTGGTACTCGGGGTGGTGTCTGAATCCGATTTCTGACTCATTCAAAAAAGCGTAAGCTTTTCGCGTTTTTTACCATCTTGCCTTCTTTGGAGAGGTGGCCACAAACACAGCAGCCACTGTAAATCAAATACTAACATGACTGGTTAATAAAAATGCAGTGAAAGAATTACAGGGTTATATGAAGAATTATTAGAAATTCTTGTCAGTAATTAATGGAATCTGTGATCCTGACAAAAGAACACAAAAGTATTTTTATTAGAGTGTTCCAGTGATGTTTGGCAAGTTGAGAAGACTAATAAAACCCATAAATATTCACAATGTTGGTGAGCCTGAAACTAAAATGTGTATATCAGCCAGTTCATACCGTGCTACAGTATTGCTAAAATCAGAAGATATGATAGAGAGGAAATCCAAAGTTGACCATACTTCTTATTAATCTTGTTAATACACTTTCCAGGTTTGGGAATGGGACTGTTTAAACAGAGGTTGCATCAGAATGCAGGAGGCCTGCCTCTTGCTCTGGGGGACTTAGCTGTTTTAAGATTCCCCTAACTCTGATGACATTGGAGTTAAATTTTTCAGAAGACATAGATGGGCTGTTAGGAAGCAAAAAATAAGAGATTGAGCTAGAGAATAACAAGGGGGGACTTCCCTCAATTAGAGGGTTAGGGAAAGTCTGTTTCTTCTCTGCTGTACCTTCCATCCTTCTGCCTCCTGCTGCTGGGTCTCTGGTATCACCATCTTAGTAACAGACTTTTTTATCTGAGGCCCGAAGACGTATGCTGCACATAGTAAGACATACACTAATACTATGATAAATGTAAGAAAATAGTTCCATGATAAAAGAACATCTGGTATAAAAACTGCATGCAGCGCATGTAGCAGTGGCGATCTAAGTGCTCACGCAGCAAGGCAGGTGCTGTCTCAGGGATAGGGACTCCGTTTTCATGAGGCATGCAGCTCCCCCTGTGAGAACCTCGCATTCCAGAGTCAAGGGAGAAGTCCAGGGTCTGCCACTTCTCTTCCCAATTCAGCTTCCTTCTTTGTTTTCGGTAGCTCTCTAATCCTGACAATTTGGGGAAGTCTAAGCTATAACATAGGTAACTTAAGTCAGCAAAAAATATGACCAAATAAAATTTCTGAAGTTTTATAACCATGCCTTTTCCAGTTCCTTTTATGTTTTTAGTTTCCTTTTCTACATACATTATTTTCCCTTCGGGATTTAAGTGAAAGGTAAGGTTATGTGACTCTTAGTTAATATTATCACAAGTATTTGTTCTCGAAGTGTTTTGAGAGTAACTATTTAAAGGTTCTGGACTCATAATTCCAACATGGGTTTCTCTCCCCATGCCCTTCCCAACCTGGCAATTCTCTGGCGCCAGCTAGGTGTCCTGTAATTCAACTCACTTTTTTTTTTTTTTTTTTTTTTACAAATAGTTTATTGTCAAATTAGTTTCTACATAACACTCAGTGCTCATCCCCAAAGTGCCCTCCTTCATGCCCATCCCCTCCTCCCCCCCACATCCATCCGTCCTCAGTTTTTGTCAGCATTCAAGAGTCTCTCATGGTTTGCCTCTCTCCCTTTCCCCCACCATTTCCGCCCTTCTTCTCCCCCTTGGTCCTCCGTCAAGTTCCTCCTAATCCTCCTATACGTGCAAACATATGGTATTTGTCCTTCTCTGCCTGACTTATTTC